CGGACGAGGGGAGCTTTGTGAACCACAGACCTGGCATTTAGCAGCAACAGCCTGAGACCAGGGTCCTGACCACTCTCACCATCTGGCCCAGGAGTGGAACTAACAGGGCTGGAAGGGGGGATAGCTGTGAGTTAGTGAACCCTCCTTCCCCGGTAATGGCTAGCCCTGAAGTTCCCGTCATACCTGCCCCTTCCCGTAATGAACGTAATGCTCCGGCCCACCCCCGCAACCGTAGGCCTCATTTCCCCCCTCACAGCCTCCGTTCCTTCTGGCAGGTGATTTATATCAGTCATTCTAGAATGGGAGACAGACCTGGGCCCCCCTACCACTTCTGCAATGGCACTCAGTGGAGGAGGCACCAGGTATATTCCCAATCCTCACATACGTACACAACCACTCACCCATACAGTCCCCACATAAGTCAGTTAAAAACACAGAAAATACAACAGTAATAAGATTGGGTACAGACATCAAACAGGCACACCATCCACACCACATTCATAAAATATGCGAAGCACTGCGCTAGTGCGGTTTAAGATAAACGGTGGTATGGAAGGAGGAGGGAGAGCTGCTCTGCTCCTCTCCCTTCCTTTAAGTCCCAGAAAGACACCCAAGGCCAAAGGTCCAAAAGTCCGTGTTGTGTAAGGTGGTTGTAGATGGAGGGGGACAAGGCGTAAACGCCAGGTGTTAATGAGCAGCAACTTCGCAGTCTCACACCCTCCAGATCAAGATGTAGTTCAAAACAATCACCAATAACGGTCCATAGGGGATATGAAGATAGTGTGTAGGGGAATGTCTTGTCTTCCCCCTCTCCTAAACTTCTGAGAGGTCCAAAGTCTGGGGGTCCAAAGTCTGGGGGTGGCTGGAACAGATCAAGAGGGGAGAAGGGAGAGGGCCGGTTGTTAATATGCCAAGTCCCCACCCCTGAATCTGCCATCCTCTATCGCTCCTTTCCACAGACTGAATGCACCATAAATGCTCAGACCATGAGGTCCTAGGCGTTATATCAGATGAGCGCTGCCCGAAATAGATGTTCCAGGGGCAGTGACGGGTGGCAAGCGGTCAAAGGAGGACGGATGTTACAAGGCCAAAGCAGATGGTCACAGGCCAAGGCAGTGGAGAGTCAGTGCTGGGTAGGGAAACAGGTGAAGGCTCCGCAGCAGCGAGGGCAGGCAGAAGAAAAAAATGCCCAGACACGCAGAAGGGCTAAGGGGAGAGGCTGCGACGGCGAGGAGGCAAGCAAAATGGGGGGGGGGGGCGTCCAGGAATGCTACAGCGGCGGCAACCACAGCCAGCCGCCCGATCTACCCGGCCAAGCCCCGAT